CCTCCTGGATCGTAGCCTTTCGCGCTCTCTTCTTCTTCTCAGTGGCCGCCTGGCCTCGCACGCTATCCACGTACGCCTCTGTCAACACAGCCTGCGCCTCCGGCACGAAGTGCGTTTTGAGATGGGTCTTGAGAGGATCGCGTGGTGAAACCTTCGATTTTTGGGTGAAGCACGCGTCTACGCACACCTTCAAACAAGGTGTTAGCGTCGGGTGGTAGTCTTCACGCAATACTCTTACAATGCTCCAGGGTTGTGGGTAAGATTCCCGAAGCAAGCGGGGCAGCGGCGACGTAGATACTCGCTCGGCCGTGTACGGGGCGGCGGCTCTGGAAATGGGACTTGAGGAGGATCCGGTGTACGTTCTCTAAAGTGTTTGCGTTTGTGGTCGCGATTTGGCGAGCCTGGCGTTGGAGTACCGGAGGACGCAGACGACGAGCGAGACCCCTGTGAGGGTGAGGAGCTGGCAGCTGATGAGCTACGGGGGGCGGATGCAGATCCTTCTCTGGTTGCTGCCCGCCCCCGACCAGGCTGCGGCGGTATAGCGGGTGCCACTGGTGGCGGCGACGGCGACTCCTCGTTTGCCGGTGGGGCCAAGTGCAGGATACGCGTAGCCTCGATGATCTGACTATACCGCTCCTTGTGCAAATTTCGCATATGGGCGTACCACATGAGGCAGTTTCGGAATCGCCGCCTTAGAGAGTTCTGCGCTGGGAACTGAGTTTATGTCAGAATAAGAAACGGTCTTTGCGTACCGTGTGATCTAGCTGAAACCCCATGTTTGAGAGCGAACGCTCCAACGTCTGCGCAAACGCTGTGTTGTTGGGTGCGATGTGGAGGAACAGGTCCGCGGTAAACGCCAAGACCCGCATGTCTACCGCCAGAGAAGGCGACAGAGGCGCGCAAGGAAAGGCCCCAGCACACATCCGCTGTACGGCGGCTGGGGCACAAGCGCAAACGGTCAAGTCCAGATCTTCAATTGCTAGATGAGCGAGAGTCAGCAACATCGTCAAAATACAGTCACTGCTGGGCACGTACATGAAAAGTGGACAACGGCAACCTTGAGGACCCTCCCGACACACTGGCACGTCTTCCTTGGTATTTCGAGCCCGTCGTAGTGCCGCATGGATTTTGTGCCGTGCAAGAAGCGAGCGAAGTGGGGGAGGAGATTGGGTATCACTTCGCCCTGCCACCGCTGCCATTGAGCCGCTCTCTTGCGCCGATGCTGGGTAGGATCGGGAGGCGGGGTGCGATCCGGGGGTACAATGTCGCGTTCATCGTACGCATCTCCGTCGGGGCCTTCTCTGGCGTCTTCGTTATCAGCGCCGCCGAGATTTTCACCTCCAAGACCTGCACGGGCAAGTAGCGGAGGCAAACGCGGTTGTATCAGAGTTCTGCCGTTGGCGAGAACTATATCTGGCTGGTGGTTGACGTGCGAGGGGACTTTCGCCAGTGGGTGCAGTATCGAGGGCCCGGGAACCGCGTAATAAGAAGGATTTTGCTGAGCGGCATGTCGCTCTTTCGCAGTCATTCGACGCATGGTGTACTGTTGATAGAAGGTGTAGAGTTAGAGCAAGGAACCCCTTGTCGTGCCACTGGCTTGCCACTCACTTTACTTGACTACGCGTCACCCTGGGTGGATTTGTTTCTCGGGTGTAAGTAAAGGATACAGTATTTAATCAAGACATGAGAGTATTCGGTATGTTCTGGTAATCATGTACGAGACTCTCTGTAGATAAATCTAGTGGGGACCACAGGAATTATTACTATATACGGCCATTCTATGGTAGTACGCTAAAACCATGCCGAGGCGCTCGTTGGGCAGTTCCAGGGTCGGACACGCCTACTAGAGTGGCGCGCGCGCATTGCGCTGGCACCCACACGCACGATCGTCTTGCGCGGCCAGCAACCCAACCACCCAAACCCGCCGCGCCGAGCAGAGGGCACGCGCACATCGTCTTGCGCAGCCCAGAGACGCCCAGCCACCCACCACAAGGAATATTACTATATTCGACCTTGAGGTGGTGGTGGTTACAGATCAAGAGCAAAATAGGCGCCCGGAACAAATAACAACAGTGATGTTGCGCAAGTCTCGGGGCCCGGTCCGACCACATATCTAATCTTATCACTTGAATTATCTTATCGCTTCATTTTTGTCATTGAACAAAAAGTAACTAGTAAAGTCCCTTGCCGGCACAACCAATGTGCCAATGGGACATTGGTAGTAGGCATCCTAATAGACTTATGGTCGCACTACGAGTTTTTTTTTAAAAAAATTGGAAGAAAAGTAGTAAAGAAAACATGGGAATGTCCCACGCCGGATTCGAACCAGCACACACTGGAATACGCGGCTTTTGCAAAGATATTATTTCCAGCAGCACAACCACTGTGCAAATGGGACATCGATAGTCAGTGTGCTAATGGTCCTACTACACGCCCCGGTCCCACTAGGATTAATTTTAAAAAAAGATGCGCTCCAGTGCACCCATTCATTTAGTATAGTTACACCAGGCCGTCAGTAAGTCTAATTACGCGCGGTGTGCGCTAATACAGATTATTTACAAGCTATCTACATAGTGTGATCATGATAGAAGGTCGTACAGGGAAAAGCGTTATCGGTCGTGTCGATGTGAATGTTGCGCGCCATGCACAGACTAGAGTAATGATACAATTTTAAACTCCCACTCTCCAATTCCACCTCTACAATGCCGCCGCCGTGGGTGTGCTCTGTGTGTGGCCGGGTCTGCGCGTAGCACCCCTTCGCGACAATATCCCCTTGAATGTCCGGCCCAACAATGACGACGCGCTCTTTGAAGGTGTCGATCCTCGTCGTCCCGTCGTCGCTGAACCGCCGGGGCTTGATACACATCGGCCCGATACCGTGCGGGACACTGAAACCAAAGACTTGTACCTTTTTCTTGTCGAGGCTTTTGGGGTCAATGGCGTCTGCGAGCAGGAGGTAGGCAGCTTTCCCTTCGAGGGCTCGGATCTTAGCGCTCGTTTTGAAAATGCGATGGGTCTCGAGCGCAACGCTATTCACACCCTCGAGCACGACATCCACGCGCTTGCCCTTCAAGGCGGGGATGCACATCCATTCACCCGTATCTTCACCTAAAATCAGTGTAAGTATCTGGTCGTGCTGTGGGAGGAGGAACTTGCCTGCCAGCTTCTCTTCTGCGGCAGGCCACAACGGTTCGTTAGTGGGAGGTGGAGACGGCGTGCGAGGACATGGCGGCGGTGTACTGGAAAGTGGCGGCGGTGTAAACGCACGAGGGCGCGGGACGGCCAGAACCGGACTTTTGCTCGGCGCAGATGGGAGGTGATAAGCCCGAGTTAAAGGAACCGGTTTTCTAGACAGCGGTTAGTTAGAAAAGAACAAAACCAACACAACGACGTACTGGCTCAAGTCGTGGCGGCGCATCACCAGATTGTTGACGGGTATGTCTTGAATCATCAAACCTGTATGCGTGCGGATGGAAACCAAGATTCCCCGCGAGTCCCACCAGCGGCGCCCATAGACGTCCTTGTCCGGATTTGCAGACATCCAAGCCTTCATACGTTGTGCCCGGGCTTCGCTGTCGTGATCCCCGACTACCGTGCCCCATGTTCCTTTGTCAGGGTGTTTCCCGACGACCTCCACCTCCCTTCCTTCGTATTGTTTGCCGGTGTTCATCAACCGGCGTGCGCGGGCATCGGCTTCGCGGTCGCGCTCCTGGATCCCCTTGATCGTGAGTGGGTGAGTGAGCTTCTCGATATATGCGACGAGGTCCTCGCGATATCTCTTCAGATTTGCCCGTTCACGTTCATCGCCCTTTACCTCGTCGCCCTTTACCTCAGCGAGATAATCGGCGAGACGCCCACTTGCCACTTTAAGCCTCGACTGAATCTTCTCAAGATTGACTGGTTGGGATTCGGCGAGTGGATGAGTCGGGGGATTGATTTCGCTCCGGGTGGTGTACTGATACGTCGAATAATCTGAAAACGCAGCGTTATCCTCGAGGATAACAAATTCGACGTCCGATTGCCAGACTAGGAACTTGGAACGCGGTATTAGTTGGTGACTTGAAGAACAAGGAAAAGAAAAACAACTCACGACGGGTTCTTGGCCTGGCCGTTCGTGACCATCGAATATCTCGAGTACGCCGCCGGGGTGTATGTGAACGATGAAACCCCTGCGACCGGACAAATCCCCGTAGACCACGCGAATCAAATCCCCGGGCAGAAAGTGGCGGACAGTATTAAAAGTGGGGATGGTGAAGCGCCAGCCGCCCGTGGATACGTTTTGCTTGATTTGCCCGGGATCGAGGTCTCCGACGTCTGTATTTTCAGGCAGCTCTATGGTAAGCGTCGGGCCCGAGATTTCGACGACCCGGCCAATCCTGTCGAGGAATATCGTCTTGCTGTATCTGACCCAGACCCGATCAAGGAGACGCACAGTAGGGCCCGGGTCCAAAAGATGGCGTGCTAAAGCTAATAATGCAAACGTTTCCCCGGGAGTCTTCTGTGTGTCGGGGATTGTGCCGAAGTATTCTGTGAGCTTGACCCAATAGCGGAGGGTGCCGCCGCTGAATTCCTCGATGATGCGCCCTATCCACCCCTGCCGCCCTCGCCTCTTGCCCGCAGGACAGACGACACGGTCACCCTCCATGAGGCCGAAACCAGTATCGCCCCAGAACCTCGCGCTCTGCAGGTAGTGCAGGCGGGTTCGCTGAAAAGGAGCGAGTTCGTCGCGCGTCGGGTGCAGCATGGGGTGTTGCTTGCACATGAGGGGTTGGGAAAATGAGATTTTGGTGCAGACGTCGGGAGGCAGTTTGCCGGGGGGAGGCATTGTCACTTCGTCCGCATCGTCCGTGGTGCAGACGTCGGCATCGGCAGGCGGTTTGCTGGGGGCGTCCGCATCGTCCGGGTCCACCAGCGCCGTGGCGACAATAGCGTGTTTATCCGCGTCGTGGTCCGGGTTCACCAGCGGGGTGGCTTTGTCCACCGACGCCAGGCCAACGAGAAGACGTTTCTCCATGGCAAGGTCCAGGTCGTCATAAAGGCGTTTGTCCACGTCGGCGTCCAGGTCCGCCGCCGCCATGGCGAGAAGAACGCGTTGGTCCTCGTCGTGGTTGGGGTCCGCCGCCGTGGCGACGAGCACACGTGTAGGACTGACCACGTACGCCAACGCGCCGCGATTTGGTGGCACAGTGAGCCGAATCCAGTCGCCGGGCCGGACAGTCGTCGCATTTTCTCCGGCTTTGACGACACCGGCGATATGTGCCACTATCTCGTCGGGCTCGACCTTCTCGCCCGAGCTTCTGTGCCCGCGCTCTCGCTTGGCGTCGCGTGCATATGTCCCCGCTTCCTGTTCATAGCGGGCGACGAGTTGCTGAATCTTCTCGTCGCTAGCCTCATGGAGGTCGTCATCGCTATCGTCCTCGAAAATGGGACGAGTATCGGGCAGGCCGTCCTCGGGCACGTCGTCGTCGATGAAGCCTATTACACTGATGCCTCAGTAAGAATCTAGGCGAGGTATGCGCAACTCACCCACCCGTGGCTGTAGGATATAGCCTAACACCCTGGACCTAGCCAGGGATAGCATTTACTATATCCCTGGACCTAGCCACCCTCTGGCTGGGCCCTTTTCTCCTGCAGTTTCAATGCACTACACCTGTTATTTCTACGTGCCCTACCTGCCGTGCGACATTTTCCGAAATCCCAATACGGACAGTCTCTACCAAAAGAAAAAAAACCCAAACGACTCCTTCCAAATCGAGGCAACCGCACCCAAATCCGGCCATGTGTGCACATTACCGAGCCCTCACAGCCCAAATCTGGCCAGGTACGCACATCACTCCTTGACATCTGTCAAATAACTTTGTATCTGTTCTTATCTACCTACCCAGTATCTATCCAAATCGGGCGCGACAACTCGGAGAGCGGTCACGCATCCCCCGCCTCCACCCCGGCGGGAGCGCTCAGCTCGCCTGAACATTGAATATATCAATTTAATCAAAACATGGGACTCATCACGTACCCTGCGCAAAAAAACCGTCTAGGTCTACGCCATCGTCTTGGTGCGCCAACACCGAGGTCACCGTGTCGCGCGCTGAGACGCTGAGTTGGCGCATGTAGAAGGCTGCGAGGTCCCCGTACACGCGCGCCTGCTTCCGTGCGTACGCAGCCATTCCATGCTGCGTTTCCAGCGAAATGTCGTTTCGCGACTCCGGCACGGCAGCCTGGGACTCCCACCAGGCACTCTGCCACTCCAGATAGCGAACGACGCGCCGCATCTCCTCGCGCAGGAGCATCACCTCCTCCTCCCAGCGAGTCTTACGGGCTTTCGCCCTCGACCACTCCACGCGCAACGCTGTAAAACCGTCGTTAGTGCCATGCAAAGTCAAGGAACAAGAAAAGAAATATACATTCATGGAGTTCCTTCTCGTTGTCGTCCAGCGCCCCGCGCGCCGTCCAAATCCACGATAACACCTTGTTCTTCGCTGGCGCATTTCGCGCGGGATGCCCATGGCTCCCCACGGCGATCCTCGCCAGTTTGTCCCGGGCTTGTGCGTCGTTCTCCCGCTCCTCGCCGTCCAATGTCAGATCCGAATTGTTGATTTTCTTCAGGTGTGGCGCATAGTCACTACCTCTCAAGGTGAGCAATGCTTCGCGGGCGTCATTGTACTTGCGCTGAGTTGCCGCCACTCGGGCGCCAACATGGGCGATCAAGGTCTGCGAGCGCGTCGTCTGGACTTGACCCGTGAGGTTTTCGTTCCGGAAGGTGATTAAATGACCCTTTGCGTACAGCCGCGCCCGTATCTGCACTAGGGCATCCGTGCACTGCGCCTCGCGCAGGCGGGCCTCCATCTCGGGAACCCCGCGCTGGCATCCGTTGAGGCGTTCGGCCTCCGGAAGCTGCGAAGGAAGATACAGGCGTATTTCCTCCGCCTTCACAGGCGGCAGGTCCTGATCACGCTGCGCCTCCTCCACGAGAACCGCGCGGATCGCCCCTGGGGTGTAAACACGCTGAAGCTCGCGGAACTTGCGGAGCTTGGCCAAGAACGCGATGCGATGTTCATTGGTCTTGCCCTCGCGGTCGGCGGTAATCGTGCCTGCGGCGAGCTCCGCCCGGATACGGCGCCTACATCGGTCACGATGAACTAGGGAATGAAGGCAGCGGAGGTCACTCACTGGGAATCCTCTAACTGCAGCCCCGCGGCGAGAAACGCAGTGGCGCTAGTCCCATGGAGAGGTGCCGCCCCACTGGCGGCCTCTTTAGCTTCCTCTTTCCGCAGTTCCAGACGGATGTCTGCCTCGCTCGGGCCGTCTTAAACAAACGTTAGGCGGTGCCATACAGTCCACGAAAAACTCACCTTGAGTACTAAGGACATAAGGGTTAGGCTGCGAGTGATCGACGAC